CCTTCTCCTTAATGTCTCCTCTGCCTTGTCTTCTCCCATCTTAGACATTTCTTCCAGCCAGACCGGTGAGTGGGCAGTTTTCCCTCCCAGGTGGCGGGGACTGCTCAGAATCCCTCCGGGGCCACCACTTTGTGGGCAGAGGTGAGTCAGTGATCTGGGTGGAGGTGTCTCCACAGCACCCTAGCCCTCCTGTCCCCACAGGCTCTTGGTATATTGACCTAAAACCTGAAGGCAGCTCTCCTCGTTTTTTCTCTGCTTCTTCTTCTTTTAAAATATATTTTTATTGATTTCAGAGAGGGAGGGAGAGAGATAGAAACATCAATGATGAGAGAGAATCATTGATCGGCTGCCTCCTGCACGCTCCCTACTGGGAATTTGAGTGCTCAATCTGGGCATGTGCCCTTGCCCGGAATCGAACTTGGGACCCTTCAGTCTGCAGGCCAATGCTGTATCCGTCGGCTAGGGCGATTTTTTCTCTGCTTTTGCTGGCTGGGTCCACCATTTCCCAGGATGCAGAGGACTGTTCAGGATTTTGGATTCTGTGGAAGAGAAAGAACCCTGTCTTTCTTCACATCAGCCTTTTAAAGTCTGCCCACTGGGTCTCCTAAATGCATTCTTGTTGAAAGCGTATTCTGCCTCGTCTCGGTGTGTTTTCAGCATTAATGAAGACTTGGGGAGGGATGGGATGATCAGGAAAAGCTTTCCCCTTGTCCGGAGATAGTGAGTTTTCCATAGAGATGGAAGGGGCACTCAGGGGACAAATCCAGGAGCCAAGAAAATGGCCACTACCAAGTCATATGCATGAATTTTTCCAGTCAGAACTGTGCCTGTGTCCTGTTGGTAGGCCCGGTGCTGAGACCTGGAGATTCCAAGATGCATAATACACGTAGTCACCTCTCTCAAGCTGCTCCTGGTCTAAGGCACATTCTTTTTTTTTTTTTTTTTTAATTGATTTCAGAGAGGAAGGAAGATAGAGACATCAATGATGAGAGAGAATCATTGATTGGCTGCCTCCTGCACGCCCCCTACTGGGGGGGGCTCGAGCGCACAACCTGGGCATGTGCCCTTGGCCAGAATCGAACCTGGGACCCTTTAGTCCGCAGGCCGACGCTCTATCCACTGAGCCGAACTGGCTAGGGCTAAGGCACATTCTTTTCCCTCGCTGGGCATTGATCGAGGCGCCTTTTGTGAATGGGGAAAATGAGGCAACTCACCACGTGGTGCGAAGACAGAGCTCGGACCATGTTGATATCACCTAGGCTGGCACTTTTGTGATTTACTGTTTATGCCACATCCTGTGAGAGCCTGTGGCATTCCAGAGACCAGCCTGCCAGGGAGCAGTGAGGAGACCTCCCATGTAGGCACTGACCACCCTCTTCCTACTAGTCAGCCGGTGGGCAGTGGCCCTGCTGCTGTACCTGTGCCACTGACATGCCTTTCCCATGCAGCTGTGCTGACCAGACAGATGCCGTGCAAAGATGGGCAGCTGCTGCCTTAATGTTCTCTGCTCTTTCCTGACAAGACTGTCCTATCTGTTAAATTAATTGAGCATTCACTACAAAACACTGTGACAGGCATTAAGAGATGTGCTGCAGTCCACCTTTTCCTGCCCACCTTTCCAGAAGCCTGTAATTTAGTTGGCAAGCAAGACAGGCCAAAAGAGCCTTGGCCACCACAAGGTAATGTATCTGTGAGCACTTGGTGAAGCGTTCTTCAAATGTAGAGATCCACGATGGTCGTGATCAGTACTGTTAATAAAGGTCTTACAGACATTATCAGCAGCTAAACCATGATGTAAGACTGTGCATGAGACAGCCAGTGGATGGCGAGGGGATTGTGAGTGCCATTGCTACAACCAAGTGCTAGAGGAAGGACATCGGAGAAGGAGAGGGGCCCGGTGGACCAGAAACCACAGGGAAGGCTCAAGGAGGAGGGGACGCTGAAGCCAGGCCTCGCAATGGGGGCTGCTTTTCAGTTCCTGTAGGGGAAGGAGCAGATGGTGAAACGGGAGCAGAGACAACAGAGGTGGGAATTGAGTGGGTGTTCATGGGACTCTGGGCAGTCTGTCTGGAAGAGAAGGGGGTTTTTAGGGGAAGAGTGAAAACATTCCTCTGTTTTACCTCCTTGTCTCCCAAACTGTACTTTTAAGTATCTTCAAGGAGAGGCCAAATCTTATTCCTCGTTGTTTTCATCGTCCTAGTACAGGGCCAGCCACAATCCCAATAAATATTGAATGCATGGGGGCAGAGGGCATTGAGGGTCTGGCTGAAGGGGTGGAACTTGAGCCTGCACAATAGTGTAGGAAGTTTCTGAGCAGGGGAATGACGTGGTGAAAAAGGCACTTGGGGTGTTGGCTGCGAGAGGGGTTAAGACTTGCAGCAGTAGACCGGGCAGGGCTACGGTAGTGTCTGGGCACAAAGGAACCTCTCAGCCCATTCTCTCCCCCCTCTCACCCCCTCCTGTGGCACCAAAACCAGACTCCACACCATCACCTGTTCTTGGTTCCCACCCATCAACCTGGCAACTTCTGAAATGGCCTCATATGACCTGAGCTGCCTCCCAGGCAAGGAGACCATGTGTTATTCTACGTGGACAGCTGCATGCAGGGACTTGGTTTCCATTCTGCATGGAAGCCGGGGGTGACATATAGGCCACAAATGCAAGCTGAAGGGATCATCCATGAGTTGATTTTCTCCTGCTCATCATTGGTTTGTCCCTGGTCTCTAGACCTTTTGTTTCAAAGCCCCCCCTCCCCCCCCCCTCCGCTGCACCCCTCTTGGTTCTGAGGAGGCCACAGCCTGTGATTTTCCAGTTTGGCTGGTTGAACCACTGTGGCTTCAGGGCTGCTTTCTCAGGCTGGGTTTGTGCTGTAGTATCACCTTTCTCAGGAAGTTCTGTTTGAACTGAGAGCCTGGGGCAAGGACTTGTGGGTGACTGAAGGGGAGGGAGAGGGCTGGAGGAGGACCAGAGGAGAGCTGATTCTAACAAACTTCAGGCCGGTGCTTGAGCACTGGGTCTGTGGGACCCAGACCGTGAGGCGCTGTGCACCTGTGTGTGACACTGTGAGAGGGGCTGGGCTGGGGCTGGGCCCATGCGCTCGGACAGCCTGAGGCAGGTCTCTTCCCACCCTGTTCCCAAAGTGCCCCCCCCCCCCTGCAAAGGCAGGGAAGGTGAGATGCTGTGAGTAGAGTGAAAAGAGCACAGATGTGAATGTGAATAGTAAGGAATTTTGGTCACTTAGGGACTCGTGGTTAATTCATTAGTGCTTCCTGAGTTCATAGAGAAAATTAGGAGAATGCATTTCTAACCATTATTTACCGCATTATGGACTGTAAATATATACCGATACCAAACTTCTCCAAATGTACTGTAACACAACTAGTAAAGTTAACCATATACATGCAAAAGGTGTAGCGTATCTTTTACATAAATAGAGAATCAAGTCCACCAAATTTCAGGTTGAATTTTGCTAACATTTTTATGACAATATAAAGTGGGTAAATTAGATACCATTAGCATATTATTCTTTAATGTAAGTATCATTGGATCTTTTGCATGCTTTAATCTGGTTAATATATTTAAGTTTGCTTTTTTCCTGTCTGAATACTCTGTTTACACAGTATTTTATGACACTTGTAAAGTTCAACTATGTCAATAAAAAACAAGTTAAAGAAAGAAAGAAAAGAGCACAGACAACCTGGGTGAAATTCCCATGGCCTCCCTGGCTCCAGGACCTTCCCACATTTATTTAACATCTCTGCTTGGGTTTCACATCTGTAAATTGAAGATAATAGCAGAATCTTTCTTAAGGGTCGCTGTGAAGATTAGAGGCTAAGGAATATGAGGCACCTGCAGAGCCCTCCAAAAATGGTAGCTGCTGTCATTGTATCATCATTGTTATTCCTAGCGCATAAGGAAGTTGTAGAGAGGCATAAACTGTGTAAGGCCAGGCGCAGTCGTCATGTGGTCACTGCTTACTGGGCACCCACTCTGTGTCAGGTGGGTGTGAGGAGCCGGGGACAGAGCAGTGAACAGCACAGACAGGAGTCAGGGGCCCATCATCTCACTCTCCAGGGAGCACAGGAGTAGGCTCATTCCCGAGCCTGTGCCAGTTTTCCCCGTGCCCTGGCAGTGCCCGGGGCTGAGAAGGAAGAGTTGGTGAGGAGGTGTGAAGGAGTAGGGAGAGGGGTTGCCTCAGGGCTCTGTCAGGTGCCACTCTGCCTCAGGCCACGTTCTGCCCACCCCCTTCCCCAAGGTCATGTTCCCCGATAATGGCTCAGAAACCCTCCAAGGATTTCATTTCTGCTGCTCTGTGCACCTGTGACACCCTCACAGCTCTGCAGATTCACCCACGGCTTTGGGCGCCCTCGTTCCTGCTCCTTCCTGCTCCTCCCAGCCTCCTCCTGCTCCGCAGACGGCATGGTGATGAGCTTTCTAACATGAAAGTCGATATTTGGCATTACCCTTCTACCCCGATTGCCAGCTCTTCTCAGAGTGCCTTCGTCTGTAATCTAATATTTGTGCCTGTTTCCCTGCAAAACTGCCAATTCTCTGCATAGGCCTCTGACCTCTCCTTGGCTATTCTGCCTGGGCAGCGTGCTTTGTCAGGGACCACAGACATTTAATTCCGCCCACTGACGAGGACAGGGCTAATCATCAGCCCTGTTTTATAACTGGGAAATGTGAGGTCCTGAGATAAGTGATGACTCACATCTTGCAGGCAGGTGGCCCAAACTGGAGCCTTCTCCCCTCCCCCAGTTCTCCAATCGGGCTTTGTTCATGCCCTTGCTCATCCAGAAAGGTCCTTCCACAGGTTGCCAAGCAAAACGTCCTGTGAGCCAAAGGGAAGAGGACATGTGGCTCCCCACCCATCTGAGGGCTCTGGGACGTGGGACAGTGGTGTGTCCCTTGGAGGACAGGCGGGGTGGCGGGGGGAGGGCGGGGTGTGACTGAGGAGTCCGGCTGGGGGACCTTTGAGGGTGAGATCTGAGTGTTGCCCTCATGTTACTGTTTTGATCCTCTATTTCCTGAGAACTCTGTGACCAGGGCACCGGGATCTACAGAGAGGACAGTTGGCTTCATAATGTGGGTCCTTCCTGATCGCTCTTCCCGATTAGAGTTTCTCTCTACGCATCTTTTCT